CATAGTCAGACGAAAGAAGTGGGTAAGTGATATGATGGCCAAGCCTCTGGACTTTTGGAAGGCCGTAATGTTCTCAGACGAAGCAAGATTGGCTCAATTTTCGGACAATGGAAGGATATGGGTCTGGAGAATGCCTCACCCAGAGTTTTGGCTCAACAGATTGCAGCCAACTGTGAAGCATGGTGGTTTCAGCGTGATGGTTTGGGGAGCTGTTTGGGTTGGTGGGAGATCGAGCTTAGTGGAATGTGTTGGCAACATAAATTTTGCGAAATACGTCGAAATATTGGAGGAAAGACTCCTGCCACTTTATTCCTCGGGTTTCGTGGACAAGAACACAACGTTGTTCCAGAAAGATGGAGCACAACCGTGTCACACTGCTAGAAACACCCAAAAGTGGCAGGAAGAAAATGGTATCCAGAAGTTGCCCTGGCCGAGCCAATCTCCTGACATGAACCCCATCGAAAACCTCTGAGCCATACTCGACCGGCAAGTCAAGAAACAACCAAAAAACCAACTTCGAAGAGCGATCTACTCCAAGTTTTGAAGCTAGAGTGGGCGAAAATCTAAAATTGACGAGATGATTCTCACGATGCCCCAAATGATCAAGGAACTCCACGAAGCGAAAAGAAGATCTACTAGATATTAATTAAATTATAAATATATCAATTCATGTGAATATGACTGAAAAATTTCATTTTTATTCTGAAAAGGTGGTGTATATTTACTTGTGACCACGCTGTGTATATACATGGAATGATGGACTTTTCACGAGTGTAAGAGGTACAAACGTTTATAATTCTTTTGGAACCCGTTATACTTAATATTTTATAACAATTTTTACTTTCACCTATTCATTTGTATGGAAACCTAAAGCGAACTTCTTATTTTTAACGAAAATCTTAGTTATCTGTTTTATTGGTTTTTCATGCTTTGTTTGTTTTTTTTTTAATTTCGCGCAAAGCTACACAAGGGCTATCTGCGCTAGCCGTCCCTAATTTAGCAGTGTAAGACTAGAGGGAAGGCAGCTAGTCATCACCACCCACCGCCAACTCTTGGGCTACTCTTTTACCAACGAATAGTGGGATTGACCGTCACATTATAACGCCCCCATGGCTGAAAGGGCGAGCACGTTTGGTGTGACGGGAGATCCGAACTTCATGCTTTGAGAGCAAATTAAGCTGAGAATTTTTATAAAATTTTCATTTGTTGATTTCAGCATCTTTAGGATTCTCCATAAGTATAGTTCTCTGAGATGAGCAATTTTTACATATTCTTTCGCCCAATTTTAAAGTTGTTTCATTTTCCAATTTTTCTATTCAGAAAAAAATGTACTTCTCCTATACCGTTTATTTACATAAATTCATTATCAGTTTCAACAAAATAGTGTAAAATTTACTCAAAATATTAAAATTAAATGGATTGATTGGATAATTAGTTGTTTTTTCATTCCCATGTGCTTTAGGATTCGCAGATGCCTTATAAAAAGCAATTGATAATTTTAACCTTAGTGGGTTCAATGGCAGGTCAGAAACTACTGAGATTCAAGTATATTCATCATCATTTAGAACGGAAGAAGGAGAATAACCAGCCAGCAACATCCGACATCAGTGTGGTTTTTTATAAAAACGACTGCATTTTTAATTTATCGGAATTGCTTTTTCTCCATTTCTCTTTAAAAAATAAAAATCTCACAAACAATGTTTTTCAGTTGTTTATAAATTTTATGTTTATTAAAGCTTGTTTGCTGTGTTTTAGTACTTTGTCCACCACAGTGAAAGAAATGAAACTCTGTGAGTTTAGTCAGGTTATATCTAAATACGAACTCCTTAACACATTCCTTTGGTTTCATAACTGGCAAGATGGTTAAATTATGATTTCGATTTATACGTTACAAAATATTTATCAAGTAATTCAAACTCTTAGGGAAGGATTTTTAAAGATTTTGTTTACAAGCATAATATTTTTGTTAATAACTATGTCATAGAGTGAAGTCATTACAACATTTCTTATTTTATATTGAACTATATTTCTCTTTCATATCACTTTCTATCTTATAAGAACATATTGCCTGTTACGTTTAAAGAAATGATTATTGCAGAAAGTGAAACAATCAACACAAAAGAAATAAACAAGTCTAGCAGTCTTTAATATATATAGTTTATTACTATATAGAATTTTAATTACATCCAACAGCAACAGCAAATAAACTCTATCTTAGTGAAAATAACACAATGTTCTAATGTATATAACGGTGAACTACAACCAGTGTACAAGGAAATAGGTACATCATTTGTTATATACATGAATATTAACCGAGATGAAATTTGAACTGTTGCTCACAAAGCTCAGGTCAAACTTTACTATGTCCATACTGCAAATCTTGGATCTCTGTTTTTATCGAAATCTCAGTAGTTGGCTATCCACATTACATTATATAATACAATACAACTTACGTTACTGAACATCATTGTTAAATACTTTATTACACACAAAATAAATCAAACACTTTTTAATGTCTAAAATTACATTTTAAATCAATTGTAGTATTTGATTCCTAGCTTAATCTTCATCTTTTTCCAAAGACTCTACAACTCTTTCTTATTATCATAGTGCTACAAATATAAATAAATAAATATATATATATATACAGTGAGAAGACGCGAAATTATTAAGGCTTACTTTACTATTCTAATCAAACTACGACTTTCAAATATGTTACTGTATTTTTTATTCAAATGAAATATTATTATTATTATTATTGTCTAATGAAATGCTATTACTATACATTCGATACACACAGGATTACTAACAAATATGAATATAGATAATATTACCGAATCAATCGGTAGCTTATTCTTGGATTATTAATGAATAAAAACACACAGCAGTCAATCTTCTGAAAATTATAGTATAAACTCAGCTTACTATTCTTTAAAACAGTACGATTACATACTTACACCTGCGCAAACCAGACATTCGTAGAAACATTATTGATGTGAATAAACAGCAGCCATTACGCTGCAAAAGCGCCCCTTTTTATATTTTTGACAAAATAAAATCGTAATTACGGACAAGAGAAAATTTACCTTCAGATACGTTAATTCCTTTGTAGTAATGACAATTATATATTATCTTACTAACATTCACGACAGTGTACTAGTTATGTGATATATAAACCATTTAACTAAAATATATTTCAATTTACTAATTTATTTATTGTTTCTAAATTCAACCAGGCTGATTCAAATACACATACAAGCAAAGAGAGAACTCACCACTCCCAAAGTATTTTAAACTTTTAACTTGACTTGGAGATACAAATCGTAGATTACAGCAACGTTTAAAAGCTTATTTATCACTTTTAAAGAACATTTGACCATTTGATAAACGATATCTTGTTTAAAGTTATTTTTCTACCTACCTCGCTACTGATCGATTTCTGAATTAACATTGGTGAACTACAGGTTATTTTCTTTCTTTACAGAAGCACAGTAGGCAGGTTACGAACATGAATACCGGCAGCTAGTCAAAATGGCCTTCAAAATATATACATATCTGCAGTTATATAGTACTACCTACAAATAGAGACAATCTATCTATTTATATCTATCAATCAAGCACACGTAATAATTGAGTTGACTCACACTCATTTCAAAACATTAATGAAGTGAGTGAAACTGATAATAATTCTCAATAAACACGTTATTTTTGTTAGAATTTGTTAGCTTGTTGTTAAGCACAAATGTACACAATGGGCTATCTTTGTCATACCAATCCGGGTATCGAAACCCGATCTTTAACGTGAAAAGCCATAAGACTTACCGCTGAGCCACTGAAAGACTAGTTTAAAAAAAAAGGAAGACAAATTTGATACGATAATATATTTAAGGTTGCTCATAAATGTCACGTATTTGGTTCAATGACATTTATTTATTAACACAAAATATACGCCTGACAATAGCCTATACAAGTTGAGACACAACTACACAAGAATACGAAAGAAGCTTTTTGTAATCAAAAGAGTACATTTGACTCTCAGAAAAGGTAACCTAATCTGATTATTTGAATAATTCTTAAATCACTTGTTAGTAGTAGTGTTTTTATCCATAAAACAATAAAAACTATGAAAGTATTTATATAAGAGACTATTTCTTCATATTTTCAAACTTAGATTAATATTCACTGTTGAAAATAAGTATAAAAGCAAGAAAAAAACAAGTCGTTGAAAAAATAAACGGATCAAAGTCGATAAATATGGGATGACATCCAGGTTGACATTATTATTGTTATATAAGAACTTTTTGGTAAGTTCTCTCTACCTGACTGCATCTGTAAATTAACATTATTCTTCGGTATAATAAAACACCCTTTTTGTACTATGTCAAACTCGCAATGTCATGATGTTATCTAACTATGTTTACTATTGTATAAATTTGATCTGTAGCCAATTCAGATTGATTTAGTTAGTTTTTAGAAGTACAGTTATGCAATGAGTTTCAAAGGACTGCAACATGTAAATCCATTATGGGTTTAAGTATTTAGACAAACAGTATTTATGATTCTGGTTAATTTACTTATGCTGTTTCATCTTTGTTGCAGCTTATAAAATTAGCTAAATACGGTTCATAAGTACCAGTCTGTATATCTTTAGATCAATATTTATTTCAATCTGAATCCATACTAAATGTTCATTAAAATATTTTTACATTGCTATCTAAAATTAAGGCAATAAAAAGTATCTTTATGAATCAGACTTCATTATACATTATGAAACCAGAAAACATGACAGTTATTCTAAACTATATAACAAAAAACCTGTACGATAAAACCAACAGACCCTTGCATAGCTGAAATAGATGCGGTGTGATTAACAATATAAATATTCAATAATGTCTTTATGAAAAAAGTCACAAAGTTCTTGTGTCAATAGACTGGAACATATTGTATGAAATTTAAAAAATGGTGTACAGTAAATAGTACAAAAGTATAAATGGTAAATAGTCCACAAAAGAAACATGAAGTACACGACTAACTTTACCCTTATATGTATGTATCGATCGTTCTATAGTTATTACCTGCCAGGTGATCTTGTTGTCATGACAACATCGTTAGGCCCACATGCGTCACAATATATGAAAAAAAAAAAGCGTTACACAGAAAAGGTCCAATAGAATAACGATATTTTAAGTATTCACTACCCACACAGGAGTCGGTATACATTGTCTGTAACACAGTCAATCTCATCTCATTTTAATACGTCACATGAGATATGGGGGAAGAGAACATAACATCACACATATACTCCTATTCATACACAACGTTTCTCCTATATCTATCTTCACACACTTCCTTTCCATAGCTGGTTATAACAAGTTTGATGAGAGGCAGGCTGGAGGTACCATCTTGAAATAAAGTTAAATATGTACATTCCATTTTGATTTTATATCATTTTTATTTAGAATTATCCTTATAGCCGGTTCAGTGTAAGATAATTAATCAGAGCATAGGAATGCTTTAACAAAACAACTGTATATGAAACTTATATTACAAGGTAGCCCAGAAGTCTGGACCCATAAGGAAAAATACACAATCTATTCTTCATTTATTTATCATTCAAACTGCATGCCATTAACAACCAGACACATATCAATTTTTGGTATACTGTGCCATCAGGGTATTTTCTTTCCTGATATATTTACAACTGACATTAGAAATATTTTGTTACTTTTAGAATATAATGTCT